AATGGCTAAGCGGGTATTCCTAGCATGTACCTGAATGGGCATATTTTAGCACCCTTGCTGTTGTTGATGATGGAGGTGAAGCTGATGTTTATTTTCATGTCATCGGCCAATGAGCAGCGTATTTTTAAGGCAGAGCCGACAGCAGCTCCGTAACCAACACTGCATTCTCGTGTTTCTTTTTCTCTCCGAGTGACGCTCATTCATTAACCTCGAACGGAAACGTGGCGCAATAACCCTGACCGGGATTCCAACACAGCACATCTCGATTCTCAGTACGACACTCATTCCGATATAAAGCAATCTGTAGTAAATGTATTTCTCAAAGAAATTTATATAAAAGCACAACGATTGCATTCCGCAGAAATCGAATTCAGCATTTCGAAGGTTTGAATTCAAATCTGAGCTCTTACGAACTGTGCAATACGACTTTGTTTATTGGCACCTTCAGAAACTGATTTGCTGTACTCCATAGAAAGGTTCATAGACGAGTGCGACGTGAACGGCATGCGTGTGAACGGATCTGAAACGAAAATCCTAGTGCTTTCTCGTTATTCTGCCCGTTGGTCTCTTCAGATTAACGGAGAGGCATTGGAGCAAGTGGAAAAATTGAAGTAACTCAGAGTTTGCATTTTCCAGTGACGAAAAATTTGAATAAGAAATCGACTGACAAGTTTTGGTAGCCAGTCGCGTTCTGGGTGAATTAGACCGACCCATTGTGACTAAAACAGAGCTCAGTCTGAAAACTAAGCTCTCGGTGTTCAAACTGATCCTAATCCCATGCTTAGCTATGGTCATGAGCCGTGGACCGTGACTGAAAAGCATTTAACCCTTGTCCAAGCTGCTGAAAAGTGCTATCTTAGACGAGTCGCTGGTCTTAAGCGTCTGGACATGGTCCGGAATACTGACATCCGGGTGAGCCTTGGTGTGCAGCCTTTTCTTCTCCAGATTCAGAAGTCACAGCTGCGATGGTTTGGCAATGTGTTGAGAATGCCTCCAGGAAGGAAGGCTAAGCAACTGTTTGTTGCCTAACTGACTGGCAGAAGATACAGGGGACGGCCAAGATTAATCTCGTGTAAATATATGGAAGGAGTTTGTTCCAGACTCGAATTGTTTTCTGCGGAAGTTAAGACCCTGGCACAGGATCGGGAACGTTGTAAGCTCTGTCTGACGCGTCTGCTTCAGCAATCCGAAAGAAGAAGCGGCCATGGAAAATAAAGATGAAGAAATTAGTTGCGGAATGGATTCATTCACGACCCGTATTTTGATTGAACAAAATTTGAATGTCGCGGAATTCATTTTGAAAGGAAATAGGAGAAGAAATGAGTAGAATAAAGAATTTTACACTAAAGTACTGGATTAAGAGATGAGAAGATCATTCAACATTTGCCAAGAGGCTCTCAGTAATCGGAAAAGACATCAATGAGTCGATTTTTGTTCGGCTCGTGTTCGTATGCCGATGGATGATTTGCACGGTTCTCCCCGCTAGGTTCTGACAGGGAGCATGAATTGCATTTTTTTGCATGCAAATACATATTTTGCAAATAATGAAAAGTTCTCCATGTTTCTATATGATGATCTTGTTGAACCGAACGCGAATACTACTAATATCGTTTCGGGGACGACCTCAGCACTATTTCGGGGTCAATTGCGAAGTTTCTTATTACCGTAATACCTGAATTTAAGGAACAATATTTTAGGTTATGGCCTACAGATAAGTTTCTGCTTTGTACGCGTTGGGTATTTGCTTTGACGGTTGCGAAATGCGCTTTGAGGTATTGACTTAACTTTTTGTTCATATCATTAAGTGATCGAACATGTTTATTTTTAAATTTGCTTTTTTTCTCTTCCGTATTGTGTAAAACCCGGTTTAAAAGTTGTTTTTACTGTACTTTTTCACCATATACATTTGGCATCAGTGCTTGTAATATGTTTACCAGGGGCATCGAAATCTCCCACTCGTGGGACCTTCCCCAGAATGTTGGGCTCATATTTTATTTCATTTTTTATGAATTTGTGTACGGATAGTGACAATCTTGTTTGGGCTTGAATGCGCATTTGCTTCAACACATGTCAGAGTCTCGCGCTTGCCTCCTATACTTTACAGGCATTTAAATACTGTGGAGCCGTAGTCTGCCTAAGCGGTCCCCTTTGACAAGTAGGAACAAGGTGCGGTACGTTAACGCGGTGCGACTTAATGTCAGCTTCCATCGGTCTTACACTACCGCAGCGTCGTTGTAAAGTTAGAGATATAATTTGTTTACAGGATAACAGAAAATATAACCCCCCATATGCTGGAGTAGCTTCTACGAGTGCGAGTTATCGAGTTCGTTCGTAGATATATTATTACAGTTAATGATACCGAGTTTTAGCTGCGAAACTATGCAGTGTAAAGAAAAAATTTATTTTATACTTTACACCGATACTGCGGTAGTGTTAGAGAGGTGGAAGTCTTACATCTGGTAGCACTGAGTCTCCTTACTTCTTATCACTCAGAGGAACCCTTTAAGCAGGAGATGACGGCTGTACGTTAGTTAAGTACATAGCTGCAGTACATAAGACGCATGACAGCGCTTTTTAGTTGGGTTGAACAATGGCATGTTCGAGCCCAAACGCCATTATCCATGCGATCGTCCTCGGATCGTACATAGCGGATTCATACCCGACACTTCCGGAG